GTCTTTTGCAGGAGTCTGAAAACCCTATTGCCGTCCCCTCAAAAAACTGTCCATTGAATTGACAATTGTAATATTCTGAACAACATAGACTATTATTTTTAAACTGATGCTTATTCCTCAGCTCCAAAAGCAGAGCCACAATTATTTTTATCTTCGATTCTGCTCTTTCTCTTTCTTTTCCTTTTCTTCCTTTCCTTTCTCCCCTTTCTCCTCATTTTGGTAAGAAAAAAGGGGAGATGACCACCAGGATTTTGTAGTTTTATTCCCCCCCCCCCAGTTCAGAGGTGGGAAAGAGTAAATGGATTACAAAGATTGAGGTGAGATCGGGGTTTAGGTCCCAGGAAAGGAGAGAAAAGGAAAGAATCGAACAACCTCTCTCCTCCAGAAGTAGAAAAACACATAGCACCACTACTATCACTGCATGTGGAGAGTGGGGAACGCGGGAGCTGGATTTGTTTCCAATTGGAAAAAGCAAAAGAAAACTGAGTAAACCACTAACCCATCCGGGAGCTCTGGGAACTCGGCACACGTTGTATTTATTGGGATTATTATAATCTCTGTCAAGCCCACAAAATGTTTATGACCCAGATCTCCACGACAAACTCGTTGTAAAATTGAGGACGGGATTTTGGCTCCGAGTCGACCTTTTTCTTTCTTTTATTCTGTATGTTTGTGGTATCTATAGCTGTATCTATCTGCGGATACACACACACACACACACATATACGTATACACACACACATATGTGTGTATACACATAATATACATGTGTATTTACCCAAGATGGTACATATAAAGTCACATATATCCGTGTAAAATATTTAGAGTGAGATAACTCCATAAATTGGCATTTTGACCTAGACAGATTTGTATTTGTTCATGTATGTATTTCGATTATATGGATAACGATTTTGCTATATATTATACAATATGATTATGTGTACATGCGTACACATAAATAGATACGTTATCGATATGCATACGTATAGACGTATATTTATATATTTATACACTGCAGGAGCCCACATATATCAATTGCTGGGCTTAGTCCAAAGGCTAGCGAGTTGGTCCAAGTTGTACCAGACGGGAATTTGACTAGTCAACCGGGCAAAACCCTCTGGAGATGTCGGTCTGTCTTACACCGGGCTGTGTCAGCAGAGATTTCAAGCCCGTAGTCCACTGCCCGCATATGCTCTGGATTGGCCGGCGGGCCTCGGGGAGCCAGAGCTTTGCCGGACCCCCGAATTACATAGTAAGACTTCACAGCGCAGGCCGCGGCGAGTGGTGGTAGCCACCGCCCCTTCTTTCTTTTGCCACCCCTCCGGCGGCCGTGGCCCGAGCCACCTTTCACTCTAGTTCGTTGCTAATTTTCACGAGTCTGTAATGAGTTTATCACCGAACCCCACCAACCCTGAGATGTCCTGGATTACAAACAACAAATATTGTCTTTGCTTAGGGCAAAGAATGAGGAGAAAGCGGTAAAAAGCGCGGTGGAGAAGGACATTAAGAAATGTGAGTGGAGGCAGAGCTGGCAAAGAGAATGGGGGTGTGAGGTGAACGCTAGCATGAGGTAGTTGTTTGCGTTAATATATAAACAGGAGACTTTTATTGATTACTATATTTCTAGCTCTAACTATACAGAAACACACACACACACACACACACACAGAGAGAGAGAGAGAGAGAGAGAGAGAGAGAGAGAGAGAGAGAGAGAGAGAGAGAGAGAGAAATAGATTCTCATCATTCTCTAAACCCAGATGTGTGATTAGTTCTATCTTACTGGTATAATTCGATGAGTTGGCTTTGTATAAATTCGTGGATTAGGGTGTGTGGATATAGATATATGTGAGCACCTGTAAGGGACAATTTATCCAAAAATAACAATAAAAACGTTATTATTGTTGTTATTTCTATAGCTACTCTATTGCAAAGGAGCTCTGGTTGAGGCCAAACCTCGGCTGACCGAGACAGAATTTTTGACTTGGAATATAATACAACCTGGCCCAGGGAAAAAAAAAACATTTCAAATGCAGAGAGATGAAAAGGGATATATATATATATATATGTGTGTGTGTGTGTGTGTGTGTGTGTGTGTTGTGTGTGTGTGTGTGTGTATATATGTGTGTATATATATATATGTGTGTGTGTGTGTGTATATATGTGTGTGTATATATATATATATATACACACACACACACACACACACACACACACACATACATACAAGCATATATGCACACACATATTTCCCCCCTCCCCAACTCTTCACAATTCGGGGACATGGCTGTAGACCGATTCCCAGGAAGCTATATTCAGAGGTTTGGGGGCAGCAGCCAAGAAGCTGGGGCCTGACGCAGGCAGAGAATGACATGTCTGTCCCCAAGGGGAAGGGGTTTGCAAACAGCAGTTCCTGATACCCCAGTCGTGGGGTGCTAAAAATTCGTTCTGTTCCTCCCCCACTCCACCCCCACACCCTTCCGTAAAGAGCATGGTCTGTTTTAAATGTCATCTCTGCAAACGCTGTCGCCTGTCCTCTCGGCCCGAGTCTAGACAGGGGCTGGGCTGCCTGTTTCTTTCTCTTGCATCTTGGCCTGTTGTCACCAGAGGAACAATTTATTGGTCTAAAGCAGTCTAATTCAGTCGCTTTGATCTCCTGAGTCGTCTTCGTGTTGGCTTCGCTTTTGGTTAACATCCTTAGGCCTCTATTTCCTACTAGAAAGTGATGCTATTTAAGGTATTTGGTCTCTCTCCACTCCCCACCCCCCATTCAACCATCCCGTCCTTACCCAGGGTAGGGCTGGCTTCCTGAGATGCCATAAACAGGCATCTCCGGATATTGGACCCACCGGTTCTGAGTAATTACTGAGAGAAAGTGCCCAGACAACGGTCCTAGGACCCAGCTCTGGGCCAAGCCACCTTCTAGCCCACCTCCCCTTTGGGCCCAGTGTCCAAATGGGCCAGGGACCTCCTTTCGCAAAGTTCAGTGACATTCTCTTAATTATTGAATCTCATCTCTGTTGGGCTCTGCCATCCTTCCTGAGCCCCATCCCGAGTGCCTTTTGTGTATTTTTTTTTCCCAGAGTGTCAACAGCCAGTGAGGGTGCGGCCAAACACACTGGCTAGGAACTATCTCAAGTGGCGAGCAGCGCTTTGTACCCAACGAACCAAACTCTCATTTGCAGGAGAATTTCCAGGGTAATCTATTGTGCTCCCTTCAGTTTATGATGTGCAATATAGCCGGGCAGTAAAAGCTGTCCTGACCCGAGCCCTCTGTCTGAGGGCCGCAGCAAAGTCATTTTACGATCCGTTTAGAGGAAGGGCTCGCCCCGACATCCTCAATGGAGAGGCATTTCCATTGTTGGAAGGCAGGCTGGGCTGGAGGTGGGGGAATAAAACAACTTTCTTGGCTTGCCTTTGGTGGGGGGGTAGTAAGGTGGCCTGCATCGGAGCATGGGAAAGGTAAGTGTGTATATACACTGGTGTGCGCATGTGACTGTGTAAGGGAGCTTGGGAAAAACAGTCTGGGAAGCAACTGGGAAGGGTGAAAGCAAGACTTGTCATATGAGGCTTCCCATTCCCTCCCTCCTTATTTAAACTGATTCTCCAAAGAGACAAAGCTATGAAGTTACTGAGAAGTGTACAAAAGTGGCCGTCATTTCAGCTAGAGTTTCTGTTTTCTGGACCTGTCCTCTTGCCAGAGTACATGACCATATGCATACATACATACATACATACATACATACATACATACATACATGCATGCATGCATGCATGCATATAATATTATATATGTATGTATATGTGTGTGTATGTGTGTGTGTGTGTGTGTGTGTGTATGTAGACACAGACTCACTCGAGAGTCAATGGAGCTGAGTTGGCTGAAGGCATCCTTCTTCAACCCAATTCACTTTTCCGATTTGTCCTCGAAGCTATTGAGACTGAGGCCAACGGCCTAGTTTTTTGGGGGAGTTGAGCGGTAAAAGGGGTTATGGTTGGTGTCGGCTCCCTTGCCCCAGTTATGCAGGGTGCTGGTCACAGAACAAAGGAAGGCCAAAACTGGCCTCAGAGAGATCCTAAATTCTCCAGCCGAGCCAGCTGGTTGGACTGGAGTGGAAAGGGAGTGGATGGACACAAAGGCAGTCTTCCTCTTTCAGAGAGGCAACTCCTGGAGGAAGGTAGCCCTAATGACCAAGAAGTGAGTGGGGGTGGAAAGTGGAAAGGACGGGGAAAGCCCGTGGCTTAGTCAATCCGTTTTGCAAATTAGAGTCATTAATATAGGGATATTTAATTTCTTCCTTCGGGGTACAATATTAATGCCGCAATCGCCCAGTTAGAGATTCCTTTGAAACTTTGACTCCATTTGAGACGCATGGTTCCAATTTAATGTAGTGACTTGTTTTATTTTAAAATTTAATTTTAATTGCATCTGGAAGCGACCGTGTCTTCTTGGCAAGCTCAAATAAGATACCCTGACTGTAACGGGCCGTTATAGAGAATGAGATAATAAAGCTGACAGACAGCAGACATACTCGGGGCAACAGCCCCAAGGCACCCAGGTCGCCACCTTGGCCATGCAGTCCCAGCCCTGCAGAGGTTAGGGGAGGGGCAAAGGTGGGAGGGAAGCCTGGAGAGTTAGGTAGGGGGAACAGTGTCGAGAGGAGACGACTGTTTGGGAGCAGAAGGGGGGAGGGTGGCCGTAGGAGGGCAGAGGGGTTGAATACTGTTTCGGCTCCAGTAAGGGAGAGGTTCGCTGCCTGTGGTCATCCTTAGCAGAGGTGCAAGTGTCCAGAGAGCCCCAGGTCCCGAGGGTGCTCGCGCGCTCAGGCCTCCCGTGGCCCGCACCCTAGGTAGGACTCAGGGTGCACCGTGCACGGAGCGCACACACACTCTCTCCCCCGTCTGAGCCTCTTCCCCTGCCATGCTAGGAGGGAGGCTGGAGTCACCCTGAGCTCTACCACCTGTGATGGAGGAGGAGATTGGCGGAGGCCGTCATATGACCGGTCACGTGCTAGAGGCAAGCTCCGTCCAAAAGAAAATGGGGTTTGGTGTAAATCTGGGGGTGTAATGTTACCATATATCACGCTACCTCGTAAAACCGACACGGGAGCCTGCCGGACAACAAATCACAGGTCAAAATTATGAGTTCTTCGTATTATGTGAATGCGCTTTTTAGCAAATATACGGCTGGGGCTTCTCTGTTCCAAAATGCAGAGCCGACTTCTTGCTCCTTTGCTACCAACTCTCAGAGAAGCGGCTACGGACCGGGCGCGGGCGCCTTCGCTTCCTCCGTGCCCGGCGTGTACAATGTGAACAGTGCCATTTATCCGGGCCCCTTCTCGTCCGGATACGGCCTGGGCTCAGACGCCTACAACCTGCACTGCTCGTCCTTTGATCAGAATATCCCCGTCCTCTGCAATGACCTAACCAAAGGCAGCTGTGAGAAAGCCGAGACGAGCGCCCTGCACAGCCAGGCAGAGACCAATTTCCGGATATACCCTTGGATGAGGTCTTCAGGTAGGGGCAGCGGACACGAGGCGAGGCGAGAACAGGACAGAGGAGAGGGAGAAGAGGAGGAGACAGGGGAGGGAGGGAGAGAGGAGACAACTGGACTGCACAAGGAAGGAGACAGCAGAGAAGAGGGCAGAAGAGGGGAGAGGAGCAAAGAGGGGAGAGGAGCAAAGAGAAGACAGGACAGAGGAGAAGAGGAGGACAGGCAGGGCAGAAAAGGAAAGGAGAGGACTGGATAGGGCAGAGGAGACAGAGAGGAGAAGAAAAGAGGAGGGAAGGACAGGACCGGACAGGGCAAGGAAGGACGGGACAGTGAAGGAGACAAGAGAAACGAGACAGGAAAGGGGAGATGAGAGGATGGGGCAGGGCCGGAGAGCAGAGGCCAGGCAGGCAGGCAAACGGGGAGCCAAGTGACTCCTGTCAGAGCCAGCCTCCGTGGTTTTAATTATAGCAGAGGCGCCATTGCGTAGAGAGCCCGTAGCATTGTATGTAAATGAGTATCATAAAACTTTTTATTACCCAATTAATGGGTTCTATCCTCGTAAATTTATTTAACTCCGTTTGCTTTGGAATTTTTAACATTAAGTGAATTCGTTCGCCATTTTCTTTCCTTTTCCCTTTTTACTCCCCTCTTTTTCTTTTTCTTCCTCCATGGAGAGAGGAGAGTTTCTGAGCCACCCTCCACCCTCCCCCGCCCCCACCACCTGGAGCCCGGGCAGATTTGGGGGTAAAGGTTGCAGGAGGATTAGGGAAAGAGAGAGACGAAGGGGGACAGGAGGGAGCTGCTGAGGGGACAAAAAGGCATGGGGTCCAAGTCGAGCTGGATTGGGGAGAGATGCCCAGCTGCCCAGGGAAGCTGCTTTGGTAGCTGGGCATGTTTGTGGGTACAGGAGTGAATGGAGAAGGGTTCCAAAGACATCTGTAACTGTCAGATATTTGCATTGGCTCCGGTGGTTGTTGGGCCCTCTTCGACTAGAAAAGGAGATATACTCTAACTTGCCCGCAGTCTATATTGCTAACTTCCCTTTGTCAGAGCAGGCATTGTGGAAACTTAGCCGGCTGGAAAAAAAAAAGCCTTCTAAAGTTTGGACGGGACTTGATGTTTCCTCTCCCACCCCCACCCCTATGAAGATCTGTTTTTTAAAATCTCTTCTCTTCCCATCCGCCTCCCCCCCCAAAAAAAAAACTTAGTAGACAAGCAGGGGCAGCAGTAGTTGGAGAACTGTTCAAGGTTGGGGCTGGAGGCGGGGAGGGAAGGGCAAGTGGCCCGGCGGGAGAGGCAAGAGAAAGAGGGGGTGGGGGCTGAAAGATCTGGGAGCCTGGGGGAAATAAGGTATTTGTCCTCTTGGTCCCTGGCTAATCCTCTTCTGGCTGTTTCTCTCCGTGCCTGACACTGCTTGCAGGTCCGGATCGCAAGAGGGGCAGGCAGACCTACACCCGCTATCAGACCCTGGAGCTAGAGAAGGAGTTTCATTTCAACCGCTATCTGACCCGGCGGCGGCGCATCGAGATCGCTCACGCCTTGTGCCTCACGGAGAGGCAGATCAAAATCTGGTTCCAGAACCGGAGGATGAAGTGGAAAAAGGAGCACAAAGACGCGGGATCTGCAGCCCCGGTCGCCACGGAGAGCGCCTCGACCACCCCCTCGGCGGGGAAAGTGGAGGAGGAAGAAGAGGAGGAGGAGGAGGAGGAAGAGGAGGAGGAGGAATGAGGCTGGAGCTGAAGGGAGGAAGCCCGAGCCGCCCAGCCGAGCTGTGGAGTCTGATGGATGCACGTGACAGTCGGAAAAGCGTCTTTATGAGACTTACCAGTTTTATTTAAAAAAAAAAAGAAAAAAGAAAAAAAAACTTCTCCCCACAATTAGTTACCCCCCTGCCCCCAAGCCTTCCGCCCTCCTAGCTCAGCTCCCAAGGCTGGCTGTGCTGAGGTACTCCAGGAAGGCGAGGTGTCTAGTTTGTGTCTTCCTCTCCCCTCCCCCTTCCACCTCTTTCTCCTCCCTGGGTCCCTTGGAGTTTCCTAGCTGTGTTCGTCTGCCCTGAGCCCGCACAGGCCCGGACTCTCTGCCCCCCCCGGCCCCCCCCCCCCCCGCCAAGTCGGTGCCCTCGGCCCCGTGGCTGCTATCCCTACCCCTGGCCGAGGGAGCCCGACGGGCACACAGCGCTGGCGCTCAGAGAAACTACCTAACAGAGCCCTTGGGCTCGGTCACCCCCTGATGAAGAGGGCACGGGCGTCCAGGCGCCCACCAAACTACCTAGTTATGCCAACCCAGAGCACTGGGCTTCCGTTTCACAATTCAGAATCGTCTCTTTCATTTTCCTTCCTGAAAGGGCAATAAGAGCAAAGGTGAGGAAGGGGGAGACGTTCTGACAACACACAAATACACAAAATACACAATTACACACACACACACACACTCATCTAGACAACCACTACACTCCAGCAATGGGCTGTACTACCTATCTGATTTCCAAACTACCTGTTTTTTTGCTTCACCTACCTAACTCCTTCATTATGACTGTACTTTAGAAATCCGAGAAGGATTAGATGTTAAAGAAGACTGACTAAAAAATAAATAAATAAAAATAAAACAAGAAAGAGAAAAAAAGGGGAAAAAAGAAAAGCATAATATTTTCACAAAAGGCTTTTAGTCCACTTGACTGTGGAGGAGCATTTCTTCTTAGCTTGGGCAGAGAACTGGGGACCAGGGCTCGCTGGCTTCTATTTAAATTGAGAATAATAATAATAATGATAATAATATATTTATTCCAAAGCGATTCTAAATGAAATCATATGCTGCAAACTCGCTTTCCTCTCCTTGCCTGACCATTCCGAGTTCAGAAGAAAATGCGTCTGCTTTTGGGGAGGGGGCAAGGAGGGCATCCTCTTTCCCTCGGCTGGCACCCTATTAGGCTTCTGCTTGGCCAGCCTTCCAAGGGCTGCAACATCCTTTGAACCAAGTTTCGGTCGAAAGTGACCATTCCCCCTTCCCCATACTTACATACACACCTTATACTTGTCCTTCTCACCTCTCCAACCTACCCCGTGCCCTGCCCCTTTACTAGTGTATTTAATATTGCTACCCTGACTTTTCCTACAATAACGAATCCTGTATATTTCAATGAGTTTAGGGGGCCATTGATATTGTCTTGAAGCTTGTTTGTAATACCTTGTCCTGACTCGGGAAAACTGTCATTCATTGGGATACCTTTGTAGTGTGATGTTTTGTTGCTAACTCCTGTAGCAAGGTAATCGGGCAGGGTGCTTATAACACCCTGTTGAAGCTGCCCAGGCTTGGCCCCTGCCTCCTTTCCTGCCCCTGTCTCTCGTGTTCTCTCGTGTTCTCGTCAACATTGGCGCTGCAGTCTATGTAGGTGTTGAGAGTCCTAACCGTGTGTGTGAACTCTGTGGAGGTGACTGTTCCAGTCTCGCCCCCTCAAAATGTGGTTTATGTTAACATAGAAAAAATAAAATATATGCTTGGTGACAATAGACCAGGTTTCTTTATTCGCCGCCAGGCACCATAAAAAGCACTGGGGGAAATAAAAGGGTTTGGGGAGGGAGGGCAGAAAAGAGGGAAAATATAACTTGAGTGATATGGGCATATGGTATAAGAACACAAGTATGTGCTATTTACACACATATGTGGATATGTATTTGTGCACGGATACATGTGAACATGAACAGACATTTCCATCTGCCAACATTTGCCCTTTCGATTATATAAGAGTACCCCCAAATCTGCGCCTTTCTCATGGTAGGGTCCTGGGGGATGGTTCGAGGAAGGGAGCTTCCATCACCAAATTGGCTTTCCCCTATTTCCCAAACATGTCCCTCTCCTCAGCTCCAGATTTTGTCCCAGCTCAGAAGCCTAGTCCAGCCAAGCTGAATAATCAGCCCCCCTGAGTATCTGATTCCATCCTTCGAGGTGCAGGATCCAGACTGCAAACAGGACAAAAAAGTGTGAGACTCGATGGCTGAGCTGTCTGTGGCAGGGCCTGCTGCTGGCTGTCGTCTCTCATCCCATCCACTGCTGTCCCATCCCATCCCAGATCATTCCAACCCATTCTAGGCCATCTCATCCCATCCCCGGGGCTGCTGCTGCAAAAAAGTCCTGGGGAAGAAGAAGGTTCCCAGGAAATCGAAATTCACTAAAGCTCCCCTGAAGCCGGGGAAGAGAGGAGGAGAAGGAGGATGAAGCAGGCTGAGAGGGAAGAGAGGGAGAGGAAGGGAGTTCAGGGCTGAACTAGAGGCAGAGCTCTATTTGGCTTGCCTCTGCCAAGTGGCCTTCCCCGCGGCCTCCTCCTGGCTGGGAGAGCGTCTAATTGCTCCTCAAATAAAAACGAGGGCAAAGTGGATCTGCAAAAAGCCAAGCCTAGCACTCTGGGGCTGCCTTTCTGGTAAGATGGCGCCTCCGTAAGACCTGCCTCTTCTCAGTGATGAGGAAAAGGCCATAAATCCGTTGTTGTTTATGAAAATTTACAACTTTGCAATACAACTTTATGAGTTGTTCGGGGTTTCCATTGGCCGCTGTCGGTCATGTGGATGGCAACCGTGAACATGAACTTTTTTATAATTTCCCTTGCGAGAATAGAGCTGCATTCTTTTGCTGAGCTCGGTCCTGCTTCGGATCTCAGGCTTTTCAGTCCCTATAGCGTTTGCTCTTTGGAAGGCAATGAGGAGCGGAGAAGGAGGGGATGCAGGGGCCGCCTCCAAGTCCCCACCGCCCGGCAGAGCCCTTGCCCGGAGCCCGGGTGGAAGGGAAGGTGGGGCACGCTGGATCCCAAGCTTTGGAGTGGCAGATTTTTCAACTCGAAACCTGGCTAATTTCCTGCTTCTTCTGGCACTAAAAGGAGGGCGATTCGTCTCCCGGGCAGCAATCAAAGCGACAGTTGTCAGAGCGACTGGAGCTCCTTCCTGTAAGCCAGAATCTAAAGGTGAGACTCGTTCACCACTAACAGACGTAGCTTAGCAGCCCTCGAGCTGACCCTGGCAGGAGGGATTTCGGAGAGCATAGAGACAGATGTGGATACAGACATTTACACCCACGTAGATATATACACATATATGTGTATGAGTGGGGATGTATAGCTATATATGTGTGTGTGTGTGTGTGTGTGTGTATACTGTATATATTATAACCATTTATACATACATACATTAGTAATACTGGATTGGGCATCTGGTTGGCATGTACATGGCGCAGAATCCAGGTACTACCAAGGCACAAACGTTTGTCCCTGATCAAGAGGCTTGTGATTTTTCACAGAGACCCACGATTTGGGGTTGAGGGCTTTTCTTCCATAGACGATTTCACTCCCTCCCGTGCTGGTGGTGGTGATTCAATTTAATTCGGATTCCCGCCTTCCCTCTCCTACCCCCTCCCCCAAACCAACGAAGGAACCAATTTCCGGCAAAAGAAGGGGAGAAAAAAAGAAGAAAAAAATAATAAATGGGCCAGCCTTGTATTTGGGTCCGAGCCCCTTAATTTTGGGTGAATTCAGTTTGCCAGGGTAAAAGAAAGAAAGCGAGAGAGAGAGAGAGAGAGAGAGAGAGAGAGAGAGAGAGAGAGAGAGAGAGAGAGAGAGAGAGAGAGAGACTTACAAATTTAGAGAGCCCTCTTGCAATTACCAGCTTCTCGTTTGGTACGGGTTTTCCAGGAGAGAGGTCTGCAATGGGAAAATAGAGGAAATGGATTTGTTGTTGGAATTGTCGGGGGTGGGGGGGGTTGTCGGTTGAGTAGCTTACGTGTTAATTGGAGAAAGTTTCGCTGGTGGTGGTGACGATTCTTTTCTAATGGTTCGGTTTATACTGTGGCCAAGTGCGATTTGGGTGTTTTGGAGCAGGTACTGCATCGTGAATGTTTGGCTCCACGGGTGTTGAATGACTGTGTGTCCACATCTGTATGCATCTCTCTGGGTCTGTGGACAGTCTGGGAGTTCTCTACTCCTTTTTAATCATAAGCGAATTTCTTTCATCTTAGAACAGAGGACTTGTACCTGACTGTAATGGGAAGAAATTGTTTCAAAAAAGAAGGGAGTGTGAAGATGGTTCATAGGAAAAGGAAAATTGAGCGAGAGCTGAGTAGGGCTGGAATGGATGTGTTTTCATAACATATTGGGCGTCATAAAGCGTGTGTCAGGGTCCAGGGCGCCCTCCGGGTTGTGAGCTGCGGAGGGAAGAGGGATAGGAACAGCCCTCACCCCGCCAGCGGTGCAGAGGTTGGGAGCTCCGGGAATAGCTTGGTATTCATTACCGTAATTCAGAAGGAGCCGCGCGCACTCCTAATGTTAACACCGGCGTTGTTTGTGTTCTCTCGGCTGCTAAAGAATTGTATTTGCATGGCACTGCGGTGTCTGCTCCCCTGCAACTGCAGGGGGGGGGGGTGCGATTATTTATGGTGGCTCGCTTGGGGCTCAGTGCTGCCACGCTGTGGCCAAGAGCAGTAGCGGCGAGCGTCCGCAGCCGAGGGGAAGCCGAGCCTTGGAGAGAATGGATTCTCACTTCCCCTTGGAGGAATTATTGGAGTGAGGGAGTGGAGGGGGGAGGGGGGACGGACCTACCCAGAGAGGTAGAGGGCACCTGGTCAGTTATAGATCACGTCCCATCCCCACTGGTTCTCTGCAGGCCCCTGGAATGGCCTGGACACCCCCATCTCCACTCCCAACTACACATTTCTGGAAACCGGTTGCATAGGCTGAAGAGGACTGATTTTGAATAGCATGGCTGCCTCCTCCCCCAAACTGAGGTCCCTCAGGCCTATGGAATCCAAACAATGGTTCTGGGAGGGGGGTGGGGATGGGTAGCCAATACTGTTTGGATCTTGGAGTCTGAGAGCAAGCTCCGGGGCTCGTGGGCCGCCCAGGGCCAGGTCTGAACCTGAGAACAGACCTATCTTGTGTCGGTGACTGGAGAAATAGGGGTTTTCTTGGAGTGGTCGGTTCCAGCCGGCCCCCCGCACCTGTGTGATTAGCAGCCTCTGACTTATTGATCCTATTGATGGGAAGGAGGCTGCGTGGCGAGGCCGTGGGCCGGACTGTGGACTTGCTGGAGTTGACTCTTTCATCGAGCAAGAATGAGGAGTAGCGGGCCGAGTGTGGGGTTCTTGGAGCCCCTGGCAGATCCTGGGGATACCCTTCCCACTCCTTGAAGAGCATTTTCAAGGTAAGTGGCCTTCTCCCCCCCACCTTCTCTCTACTGATATGCGAGAGCTGAGAAGTAGCCGGGAGAGGCGTCTGGCCTCAGAGGGAGCCCCTGGGGTCTGCCTCGTGCTGTGGTCTAACCCCGTTTGGTTGTTGTGTGGGTCACACCAGTTTCCTGGTGTGCGTGTGTGTTGTTTTTTATTCATGAAAAACACCTAAAGCTGGATGGAGAAGCAAATTGGTCAGCTGCCAACCTATTGCACATCAGCCTTGTAGAATATGCTGGGTTTCAATTTTGTTTTAGTTATGGTATTAAGAAAAATTCCCCCCCCCCCGGTTTAGTCACTATGGAATCAAGGATGTAACGTTTTTCCCCTTTACCCTGAGAAATGGGAATTTTACTTTATCTTGGGAAAACCATATCAAGAAGTTAGGCCAACCACAAAAAACAATGACAACCCACCCCAAATTCCAACTCACCCCGAGGGGCTGGGGGAGCTATAGGGATTGAAAGGGCATATATTAAATGGAAATGTTTATACAGATAGCCAAGTCAGCACCAAGCCCCGGATATTTTACAAGATTCCAACAAATACCTTATTTAAATCTTTCACTGCAAACACTCTAACTCAAACCAGGACTTTCTCCTACGTAGTTTTAAAATACAAATTCTTTCTCTCTCTCCTGTGTTTTCATCTGGCCTCCGTTCTGAAATACGTGAAGGAAAATGCCCCATTTTCGCCTCTCTATCCCGGCCTTTACTTATTTTTGTGAAACTTTCCAGGGAGAGGGTTTATTCTGGAAATAGGCAAGAGGACTTTGGCTGCATCCCATAAAGAAACAAAGACAGACACACACAGTATATGTACAACTTACGGATGTTTGTAGACATACCTATGTATCCACCAGATTTTTTCCAGATTAATTCTGGAGGGTGTAAAGAGAGAGAGGAAAAATGGAGGGAGGATAGAAAGAGAGATTAACAAAGTTCCTGCTTGATCACTGAAGGTAATTGCTGCTCCCACTGATATCGCTGACACCACCAGGATATTGCTGAGAGTTGCATACATTCGCTAGGGTTTTACAGATCTTATAAGCAGCAGCCGGAAATGCAGCAAAATGGTATCAATAGACTTTCTCCAGCCACTGTAGAATTCAGGGTTTTAAAGGTAATTCAGGAGGCTTCACAAATGCAACCATAAAAATGCCACTGGGACGCTACTGCGTTTTTTTTTTATTAAGAGATAGATCCATCTGCTGGGAAGTCAAAGATCTAGAGGAAACACCTCTTGGAAAGATATCCTGGATGGTGCCTTTCATTCATTTACTGTCTGGGGAATGTAAGGGGGTAGATAACCAAGAGTTTCAAGCAGCTTCCAGCATTTCTAGGGGCAGCTATCATAACTCCATCCAGGACATGAGCTCCCCAGCTTTTGGGCTCGCCGAGCCCTGACGGGGCGCAGATTTCGACCTTTGAAGATGTATCAGTTAATTCAAACGTTCAGAAAGCCAGGTTTCGATCATTTAGTCCTCTGGATTCCGAACAGGGCCAGAGCTGCCTAGCCCCTTCGGGTACTGGCCCACGGCCTTGTTCAATAGAGGAGTCTTTTTAGTAAGTAAAACACTCCTCTCTGGATTTCGATTTCAGTGTGTAAACAGCAGCGCTGAACTGCGGGAAAGGAAACGGGAACATTTTGATGGGTCAGGAAAGCTGAGAGGGGATAGGGAGAGGCCCTTACAGGCTTTGGGTGCCCCTACACCTTTGAAGCTCGCCTCTTTTTTGCAATTTCCTTCTTTTCTCTGCAGGAAATGGCTGGATTCGGGATCTCTTTTTTGGGACTTAGGCTGTGGGAGGAAAGCGGGGATTTGTGGGCCATTGTGGCCCAGATGTCCGGGGCCTCAAAGGGGACATGGGAAAGTCCGAGTGGGGCGGCAGTAGATGTGCTTAGTCCTATTATTACTTTTTTTAATGGAATGGGGAGGCCTGCGGGAGGAGACAGGGATCAGGAACATCATTTAGGACAGCGGCTGTGCCTGACGCTCAGGTCAAGGAAAGCTCGAGTCTCCCTTTCCTCCCGTTACCAGGCTGGGCTCAACGGCTTGTCCTCAGGCCTCGTTGGGGGGCAACATGAGGGGAAGAGGTGGCCTCCTCTGCTTCCCAAGTTGCAGTGAGCAAACAAGAGACTCGAGCTTTCTCCCTCCCCCAAAGCATACGGTGGGGCTTCAGCGCCCACGGGTGGGAGTTGAGGGAGAGGTAAACGTAGGGACCCCCTGACCTCGGCCTCCCCCGGTGGAGCCTAACTCGTCAAATGTGTCCCTTTCTGCAGTTACAGTGAGCAGGGTCCTGTTCGAGTGGCAGGGGAAAATGAAAAGAGATATGGGGGGGGGGTGATCTGTTGTTGTCACTGCCCCTCCTGGCTGAATGTCTGTCAGAGTTCCAATTTCTTATGAGAGAGAGAAAGAGAGAGAGAGAGAGAGAGAGAGAGAGAGAGAGAGAGAGAGAGAGAGAGAGAGAGAGAGAGAGAGAGAGATGCAGAGAGAGAGAGAGAGAGAGAGATGCAGAGAGGCCTGGGCCAGGAGCCTGGAGGGCCCTCAAAACCCCCTGGGCCCCGAGGTCGGCCCCCTCCCCAGCGGCCCTGGGCTGGCGTTCCGGGAAGAGAGGCGGGCGGGTAGGCTGGCTGTGCGTGCCCATTAATCTGCCGGGTGTGCGGGCTGGGGGTTGTTTGTAACTTTGCTGGCTCGGTCGCCGCGGGTCCCCGGGGAGCGGGCTCCACGGCTCGCTCCCATTGGCCACTGCGCCGTCAGCTGGTGCTATTTGCTGCTGTCGCTTTTGGCGCTCGGCCATCCAGAAACAAACCAGTTCGATGACTACTAATAGTTATAGCCAGATGTACTAATACACAACAAATCACAGTCCTGCAGAGGGGAGCGCAAATGAGTTCCTATTTTGTGAATCCCACTTTCCCTGGGAGCCTGCCTAATGGACAGGACTCCTTCCTCGGGCAAATCCCCCTCTATCCAGCTGGCTATGATGCTCTGAGGCATTTCCCCGCTTCTTATGGGGCATCGAGTCTCCAGGACAAGACATACACCTCACCTTGTTTCTATCAACAGTCCAACACGGTCATTGCTTGCAATCGAGCGTCCTATGAGTACGGCACCTCTTGTTTCTATTCAGAGAAGGACTTGAGTAGCGTCTCTCCCTCGGGCAGTGGCAAACAGAGGGGCCACGGGGAATATCTGCACTTTTCTCCTGAGCAACAATACAAATCCGAAAGCAGCGTGCAGGGCAAAATCTTAAATGACGAAGGCAGCGACCGGAAGTACACAAGTCCTGTTTATCCCTGGATGCAGCGGATGAATTCCTGTGCTGGTAAGTCATTGGCATGCAATTCTCCCTCCAACCCCACCTCCACAAAAGAAAGAAAAGAAGAGAGGAAGGGAAAAGGGAAGAGAGAGAGAGAGAGAGAGAGAGAGAGAGAGAGAGAGAGAGAGAGAGAGAGAGAGAGAGAGAATAGAAAAAAAGGAAGTAAAAGTTTTCTTTTAGATTAAAAAAAAATAAAGGGGAAAAAAATAATCCAATGTGGAAATTAGGTTATAGGAAGGCATGACTCCTTTCTCCATGTAACGTGACACCTTTGGGGAGTGGTAGGGGGCTGCCATTGCCAAGTTTTTTGGGACTTATAACACGGACAATCTAAAAGTGAGAGGGAAGGAGAGAGAAAGGGAGAGAGAGAGAGAGAGAGAGACAGAGAGAGAGAGACAGAGAGACAGAGAGAGACACAGAGAGACAGAGAGACAGAGAGAGAGACAGAGAGACAGAGAGACAGAGAGAGAGAGAGCGCATACAACATCCTTGTGTGAAGTTCTCGAGCCACGGTGGACCAGCATTCTACACACACATCACTAATGATCAATCTCCCTCCACACCAAACCCCCCTCTCCTATGTGCCCTGGAGATGCAAAGATAGATGGAGCTGCCCAATCTACTCCCTTCTACTGACATCCTAAAGCAGTTGGAGGACCCAGTTCTCCAGCTTCAGAATTTGTCCCTCCTACTTCCTCTCCCCCTCTTCCAGAAACTGTTCCCTGAATAGCTACCTTCTGAGACCCTGGAAGGTCCCGGAAGCCCTTCAGCTCCTCAGCAAGGTGGGCTTAATTAAGGTGGAGGATACCCTAAAAACCCTATTTGCCTTCAAGGCCATCAATTTCCAGAAACTCCAGAAAGCCTACCCTCCTTATTTCCTCTGTTTTCACAAAACTCCACTAACAAGTCTCTTGGAGCAAGACAGAAGGATTAAAGCAGATTTGGAAACTTAGGTCTTGTGCCTTTAAAAAAAAATCCATTTATCTTTAAAGGGGGCATGCTCCATTCTCTTTCGTGCAAGGTGGTTTTGGAAGAATCACTGCGGAGCTGTGAAAGCTGAGTATTTTGATTACTTACAATTTGGCTTCTCTATGATGACTTAGTTTCACTGATATCTACACAGATGTTTGTGCACACACACACAGGCACACACACACATATCATTGTATGGTTCTATCTCTGTATATGGTGAGATTAGTATGGCTCCCTCTCTCCAGCTTCCAGTAATAATGGGGCAGTAATGAATTTCTTTCATAGATAAGAAAAACACAATGCAATAATTGTAAGTCAGAAGGCCATCCCTGCCTAGGATAAATAACATTGACCTCTTTAGCCATCTTGATCACTGCAGAATTAACAAAGGCAAAAATAGCTGGGTGTTCTTGGCTTGCCTCGCTAGGAGAGACTAGAGGGGCTAGCTTAGAGTATGCCTTGCTCTTTCTTTCTGAAACCCTAGAACCTTTTTTCAAGTCAACTCCCTTAATAT